AGGTTATTTAGTGAAAGTGGAAATGTTGTTACTTTAGAAAGGAATAGACTTGAAGGCGAGACTATTCAAGCAATTATATGCCTTAAAAGTTGGTTATAATTTAGTTTATACTGTATTATAGATTTTATATATGGGTATATTTTACGTATAACGATAACATTTTAAAATAATAATTACCTCATACGTATTTGATATTTTTTTTTCTTTATTTTGTTAGTGTCATATTTACGTATCATTTTTTATTTTCAAATAAGATCCAAGACAAGGCACAGTACAATAAAATTGTTTTTTTAAAAAAAAAAAAAACACCCTGTGACTGCGGTCATGAAATAGTGGAATAGATATTTATATATATAGAATAAGCGAGAACTGAATACAGCTATAGACAAAGTCTAAAATGATAGTTTAGAGATAGACTAAGACGGTATCATAATAGTCGGGCTAGGATTTAAGCCTGATGAAGTGGGAAAGAAAAGAAAAGAACAGAATAATGTATAGTTCCTTATTATATGATTCAAAAGTATGCTTTTTCATACTTCTAATAAAGTTCACATTTCATAATTATCTTCAAAAGCCACTTAATTACTGGGTAACTGCACTATGTAGTCATGTTAAAACTAAGGAGATATATGAATAAATTTAATTGATAAGTATTTTTGAATATGGAGTGCTGTCACGGGTTTAAACAATATAGGGTAAATATCTGGCCCAGGGTCGTTCTTATACGATCGAACACTTGCTTATTTATTTGTTTCCAATTATAAAATGATTATATATAAAAAGTATTTTCTTTATTGGTAGAATTACTAATGTGAGAGACCTCTATTTCTCTCTCTCTGGGTTTACTAATTTTCCCCACTATTTCATTATCGGAATGCTAAAAAATTGATTAATAGCACAAAGATACTCCAATATGTGAATAATTAGTAGAACCAATCAGAAGTGGTAGGGGAAATTAGTAAATTCTATTTCTCTTGCTTACAACTTATTATTTATACTATTACTAATCATTATCGATTACTGCATTGTTTATGCAATTGTTACTATTACTAATCGCTATTAATTACTACATTGTTCATTGGGGTTCTGCATATACTAATTAATCAAATCTATATCAGGTATTATAGTAAAATTAAATAATACAGATTTTAAGCATAGATCAGCAAAATCGATAGATTACTATAGAAAATATTAGTGTTTAAGAAATGATTCACCTCACGTACTAATAATTTTTTCTGACAATTTTCACGAAAAATGATTATTATAGTGGTGTAAAAAGAAGTTACAGTCTTATATTTTTAATTAATTAAAGATTTTTTAAATTCTACATATAAACTTTTAGCCAAAAAGTTAATTTTATTACGAATTAACTTTTGTAAATAAAAATTTAAACTGTAACTTCTTTTTACAACATCATAATAATTATTTAACGCAAAAAAAATTGTCAGAAAAAAATTATTACGCGAGGTGAATCGATTTTTTAAATACTAAGATTTTGCTATATAGTACTGTAGTAATCTATCAGTTTGCTGATTTATGCATAAATTAATTAGTATATGCAGAACTCCAATTGTTCATGCATCACTATTAGTTACTTATTTATTATGACATTTTCAATTGATCGGTTGAATCAATTATATCAACCATCACACATGTGACACTATTGATGCTATATTTTTCAATACAGTGCAATAATCAATTTTCAACATATGTGTAAAATCCCTACTATATGAAAACTTGTTGCTATGCGATGGTTTTAATTATGATGAAGATATAATAAAGTGGATCGAGTAAATTTCTTTCAGTAGACTAGGCAATGTTCAGAAAATTGGTGAATGGGAATTCGGTTCATAGCACAAATGGGCAAGTGAAAATGAAGATATATGATTGTTTTAAGGAATTTCAACTTGGTCACAGATATGAAGCATAATCGAGTGAATTTGAAGAAAGAAGCATATAACTGTGTACACGATCATATATAGTTGCACTCGTGACATTACCAGGTTCACAGAAGAATTTTTATGATCAAAATAAATAAACTATTAATATTATTTATTTAACAAGTTTAAAGGCCATGCAGAACTTAGATAAATAGAGATCTTAAGATATATGGGCTAACTCATATAACGAATGATTGGTAGCATTTCAATATGCAAAATAAAAAAGCAATCATAAGTTTCTGTTATAAATGCAATTCAATTTCTGATATAGATTTATTATTTATTATTCATAATAAATAAAACAAATCAAAAAAAAAACACCCTCAAAATAAATAAGTAAATAAAAGAGAAAAATTCTAACCAGTCCAAATTACCTATCAGTAAATTCGATAATTTCTATATTATTTTCATAGAAAAACATTTTAAGTTTGTCAATATTAGCATTTTACTATAAAAATAATTTTTTAAAAAAATATTACCAGTTACAAAATAATGTTCAATTTCGAGGTGACATCAATTGAAAAATCCTTAATATTCTAACTTTTAATACAAACAAACAGCTTTGTAGGCCATCCATAATAGAGCATAGGCATAGGAGCTTAACGCCTATCGGTAAACCTAGAGTTATTAAACTCTAAAATAAAATTTTAGTATGTCTAACCAGACAATTATTTTTCCAAAAAAAAATTTCTCAAAATATTTAACCAACAGTTAAGATAAGTAATCCCACAATTGCCAGCATAGTGCATAGTCGAATTAAAATTAAAGAGAATACTTAAGAATAGCCTGAATGGTCTACTATATATATCATATTTGTGGATTAGTGCAGATCATTACTCTGGATTGAACTAAGCGTCGCACTGAAACCATCAACAAAAATTATTATAAGATTGTAATCCGTAATTCTTGAAATGATTTCACTGTAAGAAATATGCTATAATTAGATTATCAATAATGATTTTGAAGGTACGCGCTCATAATTTCACACATAAGATCCTAAAAAATTTAAAAGCACAGGTTTAGATCAACATAAGGTAAAAAAGAAATAAATAATAGCAATGTAATAATTCTAATAATTCTGGAAGTTTTGTTATACCACTGCTTACCGTATCCCCAAATAATACTCTAATAATTAAGATCAGGATATTACTTCCCATCATTACCAACCTGTTTCTTGAATAAGACCCGGGATATAACAATATTGATTTACTACTTTTAATATGTTGTACCCTCCAGATATAGTACCCGGTTCTTCACATAGTACCCATGAGTACTATTTAATTTTAAAAATAGAATTCTTTGAATAAACCCTAAGTACTGTAAGCAGTGGTATACGGTAATGCTAGATAGGTATAAAAGCCCTAGTTAAACAAATAGAACTATCTTCAACTTGCATAATGATAGATGTTGGATTCCCGCTACCTAAAGAGTGGGCATTAAGTAAATCCTATGCTTGGGCACTTTTTCTTAAGCGGAAATTGGATAAATGAATGCACAAGCTATACATAATGAGTTCTTGAAATGTTTAGAATGAGAACAGAAATGAGGACATTCCAAAGCCTTCTACAATTCACAACTAGTTAGGCCTGTAAGCTTGCTTTTAAGCAAAAGGCAAATAGAGAGTTTGAATTAGATGCTTAACTTTGTTTACGTTTGCCAAATAAATTCTTGTTAAATCTAGATTTCAAATGCTTTTCAAATGCTTTTTTTCGGTAGTAATTTTCAAAGCATTCTACCTTTTGCCTTGCTTTACGAGGTAAGCTGCCCTAGTAGACCTGAAGTAAAAAATATTTAGTAAAATTCATAATATCGTAGTGTAAAGAAAAAAAATCTTTACTATAGCTTATATCAATATGTTCACTGAAGTTTCCCAGTAAGTTTATTTTGTCGTCTATAATCATGTGAATTCAAAAATTCTTCACTATATCGAAACCGGCTGACCCTGCATTAGTTTTTGAGCAGTTAACAAATTAATTTTATCTTCGGCCGGTAGATCCAAGGCTTCAACATCGACAATTTGACCTTGGAGAATTTTATTAGCCGCTTGAAGTCTTAATTTTGCTTGTGGCTGGCAAGACAAGCAAACTGGTTGCTCTCTTACTAAAAAATAATCGTTAGTAATAGTTTTTTTCTCACATAAAGAACAATGTGAAAGTTTACTATAAGAATGAGTTGTAGAGTGTATTAAAGCTTGATGTACGTACGTACGTACGTACTATATATGGTTTGCGTTACATATAACAAGCAGGTCATATTATTCAAATATATCAAATCAAATCAAATCGAATACAAATTAGCTTTATATTTGATTTGATTTGATTTAATCAAATTCAAATAAGTTAATATTTGATTTGAAAAAATCAAATTAAATTCAAATTAATCTAATATTTGATTTGATTCAAGTTTGCGGAACCCTATTTATAAGAACTCTGAAAAAACAAATATAAGGAATCAAATTGAAAAATCAATATTTTAGAACTTTAGCATATGCTAATGACTTGACTATAGGAATTGGAACTCCCTCTAACTGAAACGAGGTACAAGCCTCAATAAGCTTATATGAGGCTGCTTCAAATGCAAAAATTAATAAAACAAAAACAAAACTAGTCCTACTTACCCCTACTGCATGAAGAGTAGAGCTCTGTAATAAAGATCAATTTACTAAATTAGAGGAACAAAACACTATTACTATTTTAGGATATGATGTTCTTATAAATAGTTAACCAAAAAAAGACCTTTGGACTACAACTATTAATAAGCTAAAAAGATCATTTGACAAACTTTCAAATAGAAATCTTTCCTTTAAAGTAAAAATTCTTATTGCAAAGTCACTTATTCTATTCAAAATTTGGTATGCAGTTTATCTGCTACCTTCTAATAGGAAACAAGTAGCAGAAATAAATAGAATTATTTTTTTTTGGATTAAAGGTTTTTTATGAATGCTTTTCAGATATTCAACTTTTCAACAACCCATTAACCTGGCAGAACTTCAAGCTCTAATTATTAAAGATATGTTAGATGCATGTTTAATTTCTGTTTGGATAAAACTTTTTACTTCAAACTCAATATGGGCATTATATGAAAGAAGTAAAATAAGCATAATACTTAGAGAAAAAAGAAATATTTTACTACTACAGGCTTTAAACTCAGACAATATATACTCAAAAGCTTGGCCTATAGAATGGAAACCCTATTTGTTAGCTTGGACAAGAGCTAAAGAAAGAATACTTTCTACTACTAACTGGCCTTGGAACAAAAAATAAGTTATAATTGATGAAACAAAAGGAGACAAGCTCTTAGTTAAAAAAATCTTGGAGCTTTTGAAGAAGACTACTCCACCACCTATCTTTCTTTACTCTGTACTCTAGACTACACAACCTACTTGGCTTTCTTTAAAGTCTATATGCAACAAGAAAAAAGACATCTTTTGGTGGCTTTTTCACAAAGCTTTTTCTTTAGAGTATTGCCTTAAACACATAGGACTATCAGAAATAGGCAGCTGTATTTGGTGTCCAGAAGAGCTTCAAACTCTTGAACATTTTGCTCTCAAGTGTTCTAGAAGTATAATAATTTGGAAGGAAGCATATAAGTTCCTAAATTTCAATGAGGAAAAACCATACCAACCAACTTGGAAAGCATTTTTCAGGCTTTAAACATTGACTATGCTCATGCATTAACTACAATAATTTGGCTACATATTAATATACTCTATGAAATTTGATGTCATTACACTTCATTAAAATGGAGTGGCTCTGATACCCCTCTGAGCTTACTCAGCACTTTAATTAAAGCTTATATTTTAAAAGAAATACATGTTTTAAAATACAACACACTAGATCATAGACCTAAAAATGCCAAACTAATTTGTAAATATCTAAAATATATTTAGACTGTTCATAATATTTTAATATAATAGTATTTTAATAAAGAGCACTACCTGCGCTCCTAGTTGTTATAAGCAACAGGGATACAAAAAAAAAAAAAAAATATTGACTAGATCTGAACTGATTTTGGTAATGCTCTTGCATTTCTTTTAATATCTCTAGTAGTTTTGTAATCAATTGTCTTGTATTATCTTTTTTTTTATGCAGTCTATTAATTTGAATTTTGCTATATAGTTTGTCTAAAAGGCTTGCTAACATTTTTTCTTGCTCTTTATTTATTTTTTCATATCTTTTTTTAATGTTTTTCTTAATTTCTTTTCTTTTTTAAGCTTTTGAATTTCATATTGTTACCAGTCTTTAAGATTAAATATTAGCTCTTTGGCTCATTGTTCTTGTGTTCTTTTAATATACAGATTGTGTTGCTGGTATATATATTTAATCTTTTTGTTTAGCTCTTCAATATTTTCTTTTAATTATCCTACTTTGATCTTCTTTTTTTCTAAACTAATCCATCTTTCTAATTGTATAAGTGTTTTTCTTAGCTTTGATTTTCTTGTTTTCTTCTTCTTATTTGTTATTATATTTAGAATTCATTTTTTAGACAATGTTTTCTTTGCTGCTATTTATATTGTATTGCTTATAATATCACATCATTTGTCTAGTCTCTTATATTTCTTGCTAAACAATTATATTACTAAAACTTGTTGCAGTGAAAGTAATGTAATTTTTCTTTTAAGTTGTGTTTTAAGTTTATTTCTGTAGTTGGTCTAATTTTTTTTGTTGCTTTGTTATATAACAGTACTGTTTTTTGATGTTTTTTCTTTTTTATTTTTGCTTTTTTATATATTGTAATAAGATAATTTAAGTCTATTCTTGCCACAATTGCTCCATGATCACTGTTTGTTCAAATATTTATTTCTTAAATTTCTGCATTTAAAAGCCCATTGGCAAGCCTTTCTGTAATCTATATATAATCAATTCTTGTCTCTTGTTTTCTACCTGACCATGTAAATTTTTTTCTTTTTTTTTTTTTAACTATCCCCGATGTATTACATCGTGGGGCACGTGTGGCGCTCTAATTTTCTTTATTAACTTTA